GGGATCCCCGCACGGGAAAACAGCAGGTACCTCCAGTTGGCCCCTGGGTGCTCGTCTTGGCTTCTCTTCTTCTTCCTGACCCTGGTCCCGACCGCGACCATGCATGCGGTTGAAAGTGCCCGCGTAGCTTGCGTCGGGCCCTCGGCTCACAACCTGTGCAACCCTCATCTCGGCCAGCTTCGGGCGCGAAATCGGGGCCACCCACCGGCCAGGCGCCTCGGGACAGCCAAACGGAAAGGTGCATCTCGGGAACGCATGCATACATCTATCCAACAGGAGTGGTACGATAAACGGATTACATTTTCATGCACACAAAATCTTGGGTTCTCTCGGTGCCTGGCTGCCCGGCACCGGTGGCAGCACTTACTTCAATCATCGTGCAGTGAGTTGTATGACATTCTTTTACTTCAACACTGTGCGTCAGGAACGGGGCGCGGCCCTCTCCGCAGTGCAGGACCTGGCAGGAGTGTGCGCATGATGAAGTGGGCCGTGGTGCACCCGCGCACGATGCCACGGGCTCTCATCTGTGGGGCGCGGCCCCGCGGTAGTGATTTCCTTTACACGGTCCGGGAATTCACCGCGTTGTATCCGTTCGGGGTGGACCGTGTGCGCGTCCGATCTTCGCTCGAGGACTATGTCAATTCTCTCCGTCTCCCTACGCCTGCTTGCTCTATTGTCCGTGTAGGACGCATCTCTGAGCTCGGCGGGGTCCGCCGGTGGGTCGCTCGGACAGTGCAGCGGGCGCGGCTGCGCAGACCAGCATGGGCATCCTGGGCTGCGAAGTCTACCCGTTTGATTGTCAGACCGACCCCCGCGATAAAGAACCTGTGCTGTAACGTTGCGAAGGCTTTGCGGGCGCAGCGGTGCGCTTCCCTGGGGGATCTATTTATTCAGGACTATGACTGTGCAGCGCGGGGTGGAGATGGAACGGGCCCCTATGAGCGGCCGCGTCCCACTCGTCGCCCCCGCCCTTCCCACCTCGCAGCTCACCGAAACTAAGACATCCTGCCGCCGCTGGCTTGGTTCCCATGGCCTGGACAGATGCATTTACCTTCCATATCGGCCCCCGCGGACCCGCCCCGACGCCCCTCCGACTTCCCGTGACGAACGACGATATCAGGCCCTTGGAGAGGCCCGCGTGGCGTTTGAGACCAGGGCCCAGCGGCCCTCCGAAGAGGCGTGTTTCACGGTGGAGGATGAGGGCCCCAACGCTTTATGGAAGGTCAACGGTCTGTACCATGTGGCGCGCTGGCTAGGGATACTGACGCGGGCCCCCACGCCGCGGCGTGTGGTGGACACCCCCACTGCTGCTGTTGTGTCGTGGTACTGGCTCTTGTACGATTACACGATCCCGACGTCCTTCCGTGCGAAAGGGGATGGGGCCTTCGAATGAAAGTCATATCCCATACATATACCCCACGGAAGTGTTGGAATGGTGACCCCCCCCCGCACAGGGGCGACGTGCATGTGCGAAGCCACGACGCAGCTGTTTTCGGAATATCTGCAGCTTTGTACGGCTCCCGTCTCGCTCCCTCTATCGTTCCATCCAGGTTGATCCTTCTCATCCCTCGACGGTGCCGTGCCCAATATCATTGCGCAGTATCGTCACCTTGGGCGAACCCATCCCGATGCCCCATGCGTGTGCAGGGGCCGTGGTCAGCGGCTGGACAGCCCTGGCGTTGTGGTGGGGGGCGCGGGCCAGGCTTGCGAGGCCATTTCCGTGGGCCACATCCATGACTGTTTGGATCTTCTTTGTGAAGCTGGAGGCGAGCGAGGTTGCAGGGCAGAAAAAGATGCATCGTGGTCATGCGTGCCCAACGGGCCCGCGTATTCTCCGGGGGAAGTGCCAGCCAACGCCTTTGGGACCGCGCGGTCTGGCTGCCCAGTAGCATCCGACGGGCTCTGGACGGCTTCTTGGGTATGAGGCTCTTCTTGGTCAGTGGTCTTGTGGTCCAGCAGCTGTGGGATTCCGATAGGTGGGCCCCATTAGCGGGGCTATGCTACATGCCGTGCTTAGTGATCTTGAGTTTCATACTGGTCTACAGTGCCCAGGGCGCCGTAGTTCCATGATGACGGGTCGATATGTTGTTGAGATCATCCTGGCTTCCAACGTGTGTAGCATTTCCTGCCTCAAGCGATTGGTCCGCGCCGTCCATGGCTCGACGGTGAAGTTTGACTTTGCCGGTCCCACCCCGCTTGATGCAAAGACGTTAAGGGTCTCTTATCTGGAGACTGCGTTGTGTTTTACTATGTGTCGGGCCACCCGCTGGGCGGTCCATAAGAATGAAGCCGATGCCTTTTCGGGCGACTTGGGACGTCTTGTGAAGCAATCTTTGGTTCCATACCTAGGGGTGTTCCCACCTGCCCTCCTTAGACAACGACGGTCTGAACTGCAAGGTCGTCTTAAACGATGGCAAAACCTACATGTGTGATTTCAATTAGGTGGTTCTTGTGTGTAGTGATATCGTACTGCTTCTTCTATTGGGTTGCAGTTCTCAGCGCATTTATCGGCTGTGGAAACGATTTCTCCCGCCATTCCCACGCCTGGACATTGGCGTGGCGTCCGTCCGACTTGTTCTTCTGACGTCCCGCCTTCTACGTGCCCCTCCCAGTGAATTTGCAGTTTTTTTTTCTCTGAGTCTTGCTGACCCCCCGACGGGCGACCCTGTTCCCACCCCTGGCCCGACAACGCAGCAGGACGCCCAGATGTTCTCCTCATGGCGGAAAGGCAGCAGCAGAGGTGTCGGCAAGGCCCAGCACGGGGGCCCCTGCGCCCCGCGGTGCGCCCAGTCCTGCGGAACAGGAGGGGCCAGCAAGTTCGGAGGCGGCATGAGAGGCAGTATGAACGGCGGATTCAGCGATGCTCGGCCAGATGACCTCGGTCATGGACAACATCGCGGCCCTGGGGGGGCTCACGCGCGCGGGCAACGCTTTGGCACAGACCCGGCAGCAGCTCGCGCCACCCGCGGCCAACCGCGGGCCGCCCCCAGCCGCGAGCCCCGCGACGCTGGGTGGCCCGACCGAGCCGGCTCGGGAGCTCGTCGGTGCTCTGACCGAGGTGATTCGGTCCAGCTCTCCTGGCGACTCCAGGCTGCAGCAGGCGATCGCTCGCCCTCGCGACCTCGTGGGCATCGCGACCCCGACGGCTGCAGCGACAGCGGCGGGCTCTACCGCAGGTGCTGCGCCCTCCTCCAACCCTCTGGCCGCGAACCCGATCATCCAGCAGCTGCAGAACGACGTGGCGACGCTCCAGAGCACGGTGGGGACCCATGGCCTGCAGATCAGCACCATCAACGCGACGCCGTGGGGGCCGCCGAGGACTCCCGTGCCACGCGCCAGATGACGGAACGCATGATGGCGATGCAGCAGCCACCTTCCAGTGGGACCCCCTCGACACCGCCAAGAGCTACCATATCGGCGCCCGCTCTCGCGCCTTCACCGCCTGAGCCGTCATCAGGTGGACCCGAAGGCTCGGGGGCTCCGTCGCGTCCATCCCTGATGGCCCCTCTGATGACGGTTAGGGACCACGACCATGCATTGGCGATCTTGGGGGTTGGAGCTCAGCGTCAGAATGTGACTCAGCTATCCCAGGAGATCAGCGCTGCCACCACTGCCCCGATGCCGTGCGAAGCTTGGTGGTCTCAGATCGCGCGCTGCAAAGGCATCTCACAGTGGCAGGTGAAGCTCCAGTCCCTTGGCATGCCAGCATCTGACACGGCGGGGGCGTCGAGTTCCAGTAAGATCGGCCAAATCGTGTACTCCCGGCTTCAGTATGATGGTTCATGGAGCGAGGCGGACCTGCAGGCTATCACGTTCCAATGAGCGTTCCCTACCTTTAAGCTCGACCCTCGCCCACCCTATTGAATGGGGCACGGTAAAGATGATGTCCCGAGCGGCTGGAATGATGGTGCCTGTGGTGACTTTCCTTTGGATGGCATATCAGCTGTGTCTGTTTGTTGGGTTTGCTCGGGCTTCTGCTGAACATTTGCTGACCTTTGCAATCCAAAGGGCTCCGGCCATACTACCCAGGTGGCCTCTGCGTATGGTGTTTGGTCACCTACTTCCTGGTGCTACGCAATGGGCGGGGTTCTTCGCAAGCGTTCAAGGCCAAGCCCGCATTTCCCACGACCTCGTTTCAGGCATGACCAAGTCTGGTCCTACTACTGGCGAGTCCTGGGCTTGGCCTGCAGCTGTATCCCAACCATGTCGGATCATAACCCACATGTCGGATCATAACCGAGATGCTGGCAACGCCCATGAAGGCCTCGCGAATCCACGTGAGGCCTGATTTCCACTGCTGCTGACATTTCTCTATTCTCCCACCCCATCGTTATGGGCGGGTTTGTGTGTGTGTGTGCTTCTTGTATTTCGCATATCTAGACTGCCTCATGTTTGTTGAGGTCCAGCGACGCCACGCATCACACCGTTTTTCGGATAAAGCTTATTTGCGACGTTACGATTATATCCTGCTATCGTTTCGTGACATTTTCTATTTCATGACTCGCGCAGGGCAGTCCGCGTGGGCACCTCTGTTTGGATATGTTTGGATATGTATGTGCCAGCGCTCTCTCTCCTCTTGCTCTTTCCCTGCCTGTCTGTCCTCCTTTGCCGTCTTCCTCTTGTCTCTTGGCCGTTGGTCCCGCTCCCCCGCTCGCTCCGCCTCCCGCCTGGGGCCCTCCCTGACAGCCGAGCTTGAACTTTGCTCGCTGCAGCTTTCATGTTCAAAGCCTCCGAGGACGAGGTTTAGGGGCCCGCTCAAGCCGCCCAGGCGGCGCACGCGATCGTGGATCTCTAATCGGGTTGGCTTGCGACAGGCGTTTGACGACTACTGTTGCGTCACAGTTTTCTGATTCTTGGGGTGCATAGACTGGGCGCCTCTCGGCGGTCGGAGCTTCGCTCCTCCTGGCGGCGCCCTGGCAGTTGGGGTTCTACTGGGCGTGACGGTCGTGGCGGCGCTTGGCAACGATACTCGTCACAAGTGTGTGTGTGTGTTTGAGAGAGTGTGTGTGTGAGAGAGTGTGTGTGGGAGTGTGTGTGTGTGTGTGTGTGTGTGTGTGTTTGAGTGTGTGCGAGAAAGTGTGTGTGAGAGCGTGTGTGTGTGTGCCAGTGAAATGGGGTGGGGTCGGGTGGGGTGGGGTCGGGTGAGGCGGGGTGGTGTGGGGGGGGGGGGAGCAGACGTGGAACCGAATCTTGAGATCAGCCCGAGGCAGAGGGGACCCAGTGGTCAATCTGTCACGCATTCTCTTATGTGTCTATGTGGGAACATGTTGTCAGCTTGCTTGGACCATCCTTGCGCCTTCTTGAGGCAGTGCTGGAGTCCTTTGGGGCTTTCTTCGGGTCATCCCTGGAGACGAGGGAGTTCTTTTATACGGGCTGCCGTGTCGGGGCACGAGAGCTTGCCTCTTGCCCCCCCCCATTCGGGCGCTCTTGGAACGCTCATGGGCGCTCTTTGGGCCGCCTCGGAGCAACTTCGGTCGCATTTTTTTTGGGGGGGGGATCGTCTTGAGGCCCTCTTGGAAACCGCCTTGGGTGGCGTCTTGGGGCCACCTTCGAGGAAATCAATCGAAGATGGGGTTCTTCACTTGGCCCCCCTCTCAGGAACCCCAAAGGTCGCCTCTCGGATCGCTCTTGGGGCGCTCTTGGCCTCCCGTGGGGGCCATCTTGAAGTCCTCTTGGGCTGCTGTAGGGCCCTCGTGGCCATCTTGGAGCCATCTTGAGGCTCCCAAAGGCAAGTCACAAGGAGCTTCCGTAGGTCTGGAAGGCTTCTGGCATCTTGTGGGCCTCCTTGAGGAAGGCCCCGCGGCCGCCTGTTCTCGTACTGGAGCGGTCTTCGAACCGCTTGGAGTATGCTGCATGTCAACAGTCTTCAGCGGTCTTGGATTATATGGTTCCATATTGGAGGTCGTCTCGGGCCCTCTTGGAGCCACCTTGGACCATCCTCGCGCAACGTCCCGACCAGACCCAGGGGCAAGGGGTATGGGGGATGGTTTAAGCAACCCACCAGCCGCAATCCGTCTTCCTCGCTCCTTCCCGTCGCCCCAGCACAGAGGTAACACCCAGGTGTCAGCGTATGTAGCAGTCGCCATTTGATGAACATCCACTGGGAACCAATCCAGACGCCAGGTGCGAGACATTGACGAGGTGTGCCACGCGTGCCTCACGCGCCACGCGCACCAGGTGCACCATGTGGGCTTGGCGCCCCTGGTGCCCAAGCGTGCCAGGCGCGTCTGGTTCGCCTTGAGCGCACGTGCTCCACATGCGCCACGGCGCCACCGGGCACGTGCAAGTAACACCACACATCTGGAACCATGTCAGTCGCCCACCATCCCTGCCAAACACCAATGTACAGTTGCGGGAGGGTGGCCGTCATGATGTACGGTATGCACACCCCGGGGGTGGGCAATTTTTGTCAGGGAGGGGTGTGTGCGCGCACCACACAGCATGAGGGCACTCCCACCAACCTTGTCAGAACATAAGAGTGCGGGGTAGGAGGACGCGACCAGGTCAATCAATCAATGAGGAGGAGGAGGAGGAGGAGGAGGAGGACGAGGACGAGGAGGAGGAGGAGGAGGAGGAGGAGGATGTGGTGGCGCCAGAGAACACACCCGTAAGAGGCCAGGAATTGGTTCTGGGAAAGTTGAGTTGATACGGTGCTGGTAAAGACGACGCCGACGAATCCCGTCGCCACGGCTGACAACCCAACGCATTGATGTACCGCGAAATGTGATAAGCATCTTGTAGGGCCGCGAAACGCGTGAGAGGTGTGAATGCATGTGCGCGGGGACAGCATGCGATACCCTGCCACTCAGGTCCTCGGTGGAGTTCCATTCGGGGCACGACGCGTGCGAGGAACACACCAAAATTTGTGGGGGGCCCACCCACAGCTGGGACCTCCCCGCGGACCCCGGCTGGGCACCTCTCTCGGGGGGGGTGGTAATCTGACCCGGGCCCCCCCCCTCCAGGACCGTTCTCCCAAAGGGGCGATCCCCCCTTCTTGTCCCCCCTGTCCAAAGGGGGGGCCGGTGCGGGGAGGGGGGCCCGCTGGGACCCCAAAGGGGGGGTAGTAATCTGACCCCCGACCCCCCCCCCCCTGTATCGTGGTTCTCTATTGATATCCACCCTCTCCCCCAGGCGACCGGCAGCCAACCAGGAAGACTGCCGACACTATGATCCCCACCCCCCGACTATCCCTGTCAAGAAAACAAAACAGAACACACTCTGCCTCCTAATTCGGAGACTGCGCAACCAACCTATGCGCCCCCCCCCCGCCATCCCTGTCATCAAACAATACAAAGTACACTTTGGGCAAAGTCTTGAGTCATGATCGTGAGGCCCGTGAGCACTTTGTATGGTTTTTTGAAACGGACGGCGGGGTGTCAGCATATTGCCTGCTGTGGACAGGGCCACCATGCCCGTCAAAAACAATACAACATGCGCATCGCGGCTAAATGTGGATCATGCGCGGCCACCCCGCGATCATTGTTACCTAACAGCTTTTGCTGATAGGTTTCTAGTGGTTTCAAAAGAGAGCATCTTGACGCCCCAGGGGGTCTGGGCGGGATCCGGACAGATCCGGACAAAAGGGTCAGCCCCAGGAGTCCCTAGGAATCCTTAGGAATCCTGAGGAATTTTTAGGAATCCTTAGGGATCCATTCCCAGAACACCATTCCCAGGCCACATTTTGAATGCCCGGAGCCAACTGTAGGCCACTTCGTGTTCTTCGTGTTCCCAGAACACCATTCCCAGGCCACATTTTGAATGCCCGGAGCCAACTGTAGGCCACTTCGTGTTCTTCGTGTTCCCAGAACACCATTCCCAGGTCACATTTTGAATGCCCGGAGCCGACTGTAAGCCACTTCGTGTTCTTCGTGTTCTCAGAACACCATTCCCAGACCTCATTTTGAATGGCCGGAGCCAAATGTAGGCCACTTCGTGTTCTTCGTGTTCCCAGAACACCATTCCCAAACCACGTTTTGAATGCCCGGAACCAACTGTAGGCCACTTCGTGTTCTTCGTGTTCCTGGAACATCATTCCTGTACCATATTTTGATTGCCCGGAGCCAACTCTGGGCCACTTCGTGTTCTTCGTGTTCCCAGAACACCAGTCCTGTGCCATATTTTGAATGCCCGAGCTGAGGCAGGCTAAGGCCGAGGCAGGCTGAGGCCGAGGCAGGCCGAGGCAGGCTGAGGCTGAGGCTGAGGCACGCCGAGGCAGGCTGAGGCTGAGGCTGAGGCAGGCTGAGGCTGAGGCAGGCCGAGGCTGAGGCTGACGCAGGCTGAGGCCGAGGCAGGCTGAAGTTGAGGCTGAGGCAGGCTGAGGCTGAGGCAGGCTGAGACTGAGGCTGAGGCAGGCTGAGGCTGAGGCTGAGGCTGATGCAGGCTGAGGCTGAGAGGCTCACGCCGAGGCTGAGGCAGGCTGAGGCTGAGGCTGAGGCAAGCCGAGGCAGGCTGAGGCTGAGGCTGAAGCTGAGGCAGGCTGAGGCTGAGGCTGAGGCTGTGGCTGAGGCTGAGGCAAGCTGCGGCTGAGGCAGGCTGAGGCTGAGGCTGATGCAGGCTGAGGCTGAGGCAGGCTGAGGCTGAGGCTGAGGCAGGCTGAGGCTGAGGCTGAGGCCGAGGTAGGCTGAGGCTGAGGCCGAGGCAAGCCGAGGCTGAGGCTGAGGCTGAGGCTGGCTGAGGCTGAGGCTGAGAGGCTGAGGCTGAGGCAGGCTGAGGCTGAGGCTGCAGGCTGAGGCTGAGGCTGAGGCTGAGGCTGAGGCTGAGGCTGAGGCTGAGGCTGAGGCAGGCTGAGGCTGAGGCTGAGGGCCGAGGCAGGCTGAGGCTGA